GAATACTACTCCATTTGCATTTGTTACTCCCACAATATGGTTTGACATCCTCAGCAGCATTTGTGAACCTATAGATGTCCTAAAGCTAGAAACCAGAGATTCAAGATTGTGTCCACATGGTCATGATCTCTTACTGATACTGTAGCAGTGAAAACAGAGGTCACTAAGTATGTATGCCTTAACTCTAACACTGAAAATTGAGATTTATATAAATGTAAATGAGCTGTACTAGTACACAAAAACATCTTCATACTGTAGGAACTGGCACGCATGGCTTAATTTTCTATGGAAGGCTTCAGTATACATAAGTATGGCTTTACATATTTGAACTGCTTCTTTTCTTCCTTTGTCTCTCTGACATTAATAATAATCATTTTGGTAGATGAATAGTGTCTTCAGCTTGGATTACTCCCAAGGGGAAAAAAAACATATGCAAAAAACTGGGCTAAAGTTTGAGCTGAAATTTTCATTTCTGCAAGTCAAACTGTCCGTCTGCATAAAATTACTGGTATTTCCCTTTAAGAGACAGATCTGGTACTTTCAAAGTGGGTCAAAGAATTTTGGTTTGATAACAGATGGTGTTCGCTCTCCAGTGGCAATAAACAAACATGTTCATTAGAAATGAACAGACCATCTTTATAATTGTTTTATCATATCTGTTGGTCATAATTTCTGGCCAGAGTGTGCTGACATATTCGAGCAAAAAGGATTCAAAAACATTATCTGGAGCCACATATGTTCACACATATTTTCTCTCAGAAGTACTTTAATGGAAGAAAGTATTCATTAATTAATTTTCCTGTAACATCTTAACCCTACTCAGGGTTCTGTTTCCTTTCCCAGCATATGTTTGGCACAAGACAGGAAACCAACCCATGAAGGTTGTCAGTCTAGCACATGGTTGACAGAGACAGACAATCACACACATTCCTGCCTAGGTATGTCAATTTTGAGTATGAATTTCACCCAACAATGTGTCAGTAGCACTGAGAGAACATGCAAACTCAGTACTGTATAGAAACCAATCCTGCAGATGTGAAATTACAGTGATATTCACTGAGCCACTGCGCCACTCCTAGTTAAAGGAGCATCGTTTTACAATGTGCATCTTGTTTTTGTAGTTTTTGCCATCCATCCTTATGGTGATAACAAATGAGTCTCCTACAAATGATGTGTATAATTTGCTTTGCCAATGGGTTTTGAGAGGAAACCGAAATAGCTACCTGGATGTTGTTTAGACATTTTAATCTAGTTTTCGGAGTTGTTTTTATTGTATATTTTTGATTGTTATAGCTTCTAAGCCTTTAGAGGCCACAGCTGTCACCGTCTTTGTTGTGTGTCGTTACCATGGTTACAGGTATCATTCTTATCTATCGTGAGGTTAATGAAAAAAAACACTGTTTACATGTTGACACATTGACAGTCTATACTGTTACTGACAGAGAAAGAAAGTTACTGAATGCAGGTTTCTCCTTGTTAACGGTGGTGCAACAAGTCAAGAGTTTCTGAAGATACTGCTTTACTCAAGAAACATTTTTCTTCAAATATCTGTAGTTGCGATAAATGTTAATAAAGTGAACACTGTAGGGAAAACAAATGAAAGCGAACATTTTACTGATACACTAAGTATCAGCATTTTTGCGACTTCGCAAATACATTCATTTACATAATTTCCTCATTATTTTGATAGAAAACTTAATTCTGGTGGCATCATTCTTATAAAACCTGGCTGCTGCCTAATTAGTTGTATATAAATGTAAATTCTATGGGGAAAGGATTGCAATGAGGGACATTCTGGGTGTGCTCAATTTTTATGTTACGCCCTACAGAATGGTATAGATAATGTACCTAAAATGTTGATGTACAAACATCGTACTTTGTTGTTGTAGGTTGCAGTTCCCAGATCACAGCAGTCACTTTGGTGTGTACAGTGTTATTATAACAGACCTAAGCAATGGCCAAACTATGACAGTTTAAGTTGGAATGGAAGTGTCCTTTAAATAATTTGGATTATCTTAAAAAATATAGATGTGGGAACAGAAACTATAATTGACCTAGCACATCTGAGAAAATCCTGCAAACTGATACATTACAGCTGTGTGTGAAACACGAGCTGCAGCTGTAGGAGATCAAGCAAATTGTATTGATATCTTGACAGGCTCGTCCCTGTGCTCATCATGTACAGGAAGAGGCTCAAGAACAAAGACATCAAAGAGATAATAGTAACACAGTGATTCACCAATGAGGAGAGTTATATTTCCAGTGACAGGGCCAGTTTATTGCAGTGGCAAACTGTCCTAAACTACTCCTCCCACTGTGATTTTAAAATGCCTTTATTTCATCTAGACGATGAAGGAGGTACAAAATAAGTGTTTTGCCATCTGCAATAAAAGAAAGTTTCTCTTTTTAATGGCATGGGTATAGCCGAGCAGGGAGTGCACCTTGCTGTTCATCTCCTGCATGAGAGTGTGAGCTGTCTGGGTGATGGCCATTATGGTTCCTGCTACTGCCTTTGCGTCCGCTCCGCCGGGATCACTGAAGTGTTGGAACTAACAAGCTTGGGATGCAGACAGCGGATGCACAAATGGGATTTTGTCCTGAAAGCTTTAGAGTTTGCTCCCTGTCTTCAGTAGAAACAGGAGAGAGGCTGGTGCCGTTTGCAGGGACTGCCTGAGTTATGCGCCACCAGAATGAGATGATTACATCTGATAATCTTGCTAATGATCTACACTGGGGAGGAGAGCACATAAAATTGAATGAGCTACACCGATGTACACAGTTTTCAGTCTTGTCCTCTCATCTCTCTTTTTCTCTTATTCTCTTTCACTGCTGCTCTGATTTATGCGGAATCTGAGATGTTCTCCACCCCGGAAGATATGCAATATTCCCTGTCATAGTTTAAGCACACGCAGGATGTGGGGCACAGCCACATTAAAACTCTCCCCCCAGATATTTCTTCACATATAAACACACATTTCTTTCTCTTTCTTTCTGTTTGTCTCTCTCTCTCTCACACACATGCACACGCACAAACATGGCAAAATCTGCACAGTACTCCTCTGGCCCAAGGTTAGTACAGATTAAAAAGATTGATGGAAGAGGCTCCTCCTCCTTTCCTGGCCTGTCACAGTGTGTTTGGGAACAACCCACTTCATTTTAGCAGCATAATGGGTAAACAGAGTGTGATCAGTTCAATTACCCCCTCATTGCAGAGGCGTTCTGGCGGGAATGGCCTGTAGAGAGAGTGAGCTGTCTGGCGTGCGGCGGAGTTGCAACAGTAGCACCTGCTGCCCGGAGCCCTCACTTGTATGAATCTCAATTTGTTTGTACAGCCGTGCCAAAAAAAAAAGGGCGACCAAGAAGTGAGCCCTCTGAGGAGGATGGCACGACTGGCCAGCCTCCTGATTGCTGTTTTCACTGCACTGTCTGAGGAAGTGTGCAAGATCAGAAGGTGCTGTTCTCAGCAATGAACTCATGTCGATGTCAGTCCTTCCAGTGGATTGTTTTGTGCTTGATTCTTGCTGTGCAGCTTTCAAGGACAGTGAATTTTATTATTCCCCCACTACACTATATTTTACAGCTCAGTATGTGCGTGATTTTGAAGTGGAGAGTTCATCCACAGTACAGTAACAAGCTAACAGTCTTAAATATGAATTCTGAAAATGTATGTGATATGGTTTTATCTTCACAGTAATATCCCTATCTTCCCTTTTATAGTTTGTCTCATAATTAATAGTCAGGACTACTTGACAACATTCATGCATGTGTGGAAGTTTGCACTAAATATCTTCAGGTCCTGGATTGGTTTAACCTTGACAAAAAGCAGGAATTGATCTTTATCTCACAATATATGTAACATCTGCTCTCACTTTACAAGGAAATACATTACATTACATTCTGATCCAAAGATGTGCTTGTCGTCCTTGAAGAAGATGGAAATCCTTCTCTTTGTGGTTCTCCCTTGGGCAGCTCTCTGGCAGCTGATGCAAACCTATCTAACGTGTGTTTTAGCTTCTTATCACCAGGCATCATAATACGTTTTCTACGGGGGAAAAAAGAACAGCTTTTTTAACAAGACTGGCCCACAATTTCTGCAACAACTGAATGAGAGCCCTGTCAGCAGGAAGTAGGAATTGCCTTTCAGGATTCATTTGGCTCCACTAATTGAAACTAATACCTTTCAAATAGGATATTGATTTGGAGAAAGCTCAATTTTTCAAATGTGCATTGCAAAAATGAAAGAATAATACAAAACCTGAAGGTGCCAAGATTAAAACAAAGTTGTTGGAGGCTTGTTGCCTGTGTGCACCAGAAGTCATGAAGATGACAGCAAACATATCATAGTATGACTTCAAAGCTCCTCTTGTTTCCTTGGCTGTTGTGCAGTAGAAGGCCTGAGGCGCATTGTATTAGTGGCCCTAATTAAAAAAAAAACAACTCTTATAGTGTCACCAGAAATACAGGAGAAAACCCTGCAGCTCTGCACATCAAAACGATATCAGTAAGACGTCTGGATCTTTATCAGGAAGTCCAACTGAATTTCCCCAACATGTAGGCTACTCTCACAGACGGGCACGCGCGTGCACGCGGCTGACAGGTGACTCCTGTGTTGATTGATGCAAGCAAATGATATTTATTTTCTGTCGTTTCAGATTCTGTGAAAGCACAAATTACTTTTGCTGTCAACCGCTCGGAGTCAATCAAGTGCCGTTTTGGATAACTTTTATAGGTTTACATAAATAGCCTCAGTCAGTAACTGAATAAAAACTCTGCCGTCCCAGACTGAAATAAAAGCGTGGAATAATTTCGAAATGATTTTGGGGGATTTCAACATTTTAAAGGTGTTTTTTTCCCTAGCACAAACATGCTCATGAACAATGAGCTGGAGCCGTTCCTGCAGTCACTCTCCGTCGGCGCGTTTGCCTGATGCGCAGCGCCTCCCCAACTGCTCCCTCACTTTGACAAATTCCTGAACGTGAGCGGGTCTGCTGAATGGCTTCTTGCTCGTAAAGATGATACCTTGAATATTTTAGAAGTTGAATAGCTCTGCCACATCTTTTTTTCTTCTCCCAACTGGTAGATTGATCCATTTGGAGGGACACAATGGGACTGTGGTCATTTTGGAGTTTTTCTCTTTTGGCTCTGGTATTGCTGCACCCCTTTCAACCTAAGTTTGGGGCTCAAGCGGAAATAAGTTCTCCCAGAGCAAATGACAGATTTTATCGCCTGGAGGTAACGCCGCTGGAAACACATGTAATCCGAAAACCAGAAGTCTCTCTCAAAGTCGACGATAGCATAAAAGTTTTAAGTGATTTTGAAACGGGAGCAGTCGCTGATGTGAAACCGAACAATGGCAAGCAAGTGGGAAATGAAACACAGAGTGGACTTGGCAATGAGGCACCGAACGGCGTCAAAACGGCACCAAACTATCGCAACCGTCTCAAAATACCTAGTAAAAAGTATGGTGACATCCCCGGGGACAACGAAATGCCACCTACAGAGAATATAATGTTAGAAAACACATTTCCTGACACCAGAAAGAGGGCAAAGAGGAGCGTGGGTACAAGACACACCGAAAATGTGGATAGGAGTATAAGTGGAGAAGCGCAGTCAAGAGAGCGGTTTGTGGAGACTGTCCAAGGTGTTTCCAACTCCAGAGCCGAGTACCGGCGAGCTGGGGAGGAAGCCAGAGGGTCTAACCCGAGGCAAAGTGAGCCGCACCTGGACACATCCACTTTTGCTCTGTCTGGAGACTCTGCACACAACCAGGCGATGGTCCACTGGTCGGGACACAACAGCAGCGTGAGTTTCAGTTTTACAGAAACACTTTTACAATTACGATTACAATGCAGTTCATTTATTTCTGTGTAAAATGCATATTTTGAACATTGTCTGATAGATTTACATGATTCAGTCACATTTTTACGCACAGCTGTTTTTGCGCGCAAGAGGGGAATTCGTTCCTACAAACTAATTATTTCAGGCTAACACAGTCTGGAATTGAACCCTGCGTTTTTCTCTTTTTACATTCATGATTATGCTTTTTTGTTATTGCCCACATAGAGGTTATGACTGTGTGCGGATTGCGCAGCTGTTTGTGTGGACGCCTGATGGATGCACTCGCAGGATTCCCTCTTCGCTCTTTCCAACTACAATATAATCATTTATTTCAACAAAGTGTTTGTCACCTGAACTTTAAATTAACAGTTAAACCCCGCAGGTAAATTTATGTGACACTGAGCTATGGGAGGGTGCGGGGCATTTTGGCATTTTGGCAGCAATCACAGCACATTAATTATTTATGAAATAATCAAGTAATGTTTCTCAGGAAGGTGCAGTAGCTACAATTAAAAGGAACTGACCCTTAATGTGACGCTGATAAGACACAGTCTGACCTTTTGGCAGATGATCCATGCCTTTATCGTTAACATTTGACTCACACTTCTTCCTCTAATTGCCTGGATGAATACAACATTGCGATATGTTTGCTGTTTAAATGATGCCAACCTTTGCACTTCAAAACAGGTTGATGAGAATGTGCACAACTTAAATGCATGACCAGATATTGCAGCAACCACCCAGACCCCCCCCCCCCCCCCC